GGGGGGGGGGGGGGGGGGGGGTCCATAAGATTGATTTAATCAATTATTTGAGGTTTCTGAGGTGCGTCCACCCCGTCACTTAACTTGCTAAAGCAAGAGCAACTCCAGCTAGCTAAGGCTAGCTTTCGTGATAAACTCCTAGGTCCTAGACTCCATATAGACGGCTCGGCGGCTAGTAGGGGCATCCATTCTAGCGAGCGCGTAATAACACTTTCTACCATTCAACTAGTGTTACCAAATCACGTTTGGGATTGCTTGGGCTCTTTTCATCCCTGTGGGTTAAGATTGAACAGCCAATTCTTCTTTTGGTAAGTGGTTGTCACCTCAGAGAGATTGCACCTGGGGTTGCAGGTTGCATTTTTTTGCATTTTGTTAGGCAGTGTGTGTCTTGTTTGCATTTTTCCTTTGGGTTGGTTTTGCTGTTTTATTTCTTTTTTATTTTTTGAACCTAGAACAAGCCCAAAAACACATCATAACAATAATGTTCAACACCTTGGATCAAATCATGATGCGTTCACCCACCACTGCAGTCGGTTTCACCACACGAGTTCGGCTCACCAACAGCCGCCGGTCGCCGCCGAGTGGCATCCGTTTGTGCACTGTCCGAGGGTCTCGACCTGGGTTCGGCGCGGTGCCCAAGAAGCGCTGGGGATCTCTCGGGTGACGGGCCCTGAGGCCAACCCCAAGTTCTTGGCAAGGGAAACTCCTGGCATAAACAGCTGCACTCTCCTGCAAGTGCATGCAATTGTTGATTTTTCACTTGCCAGTCTGTGGCCAGTCTGTGGGGAACCCATCAGCCCACATCAGCCCACCAGACACCAAAAACTCGTCACCGCACCGGACCCGGTGCGGCCGGGCAGCGCCAGTGGCACCGTCAGGCTCTCCGAGTCGCCGGGGAGCAAGACGCTCCGCGCGCGCCGGGTGAGCGCATTGAGGGCAGACCTGCGGGGTTCAGCGAGTGTGGGGAGGTAGGCCATGGTAGCCGACGGTAGACCTATTTTTGGTATATGAATGTATAGGAATGCGTGTCCAAGCTTGTCCAAGGTTAATTTGTTCTAGGGTTTGTGGCCGCATCATCGGCTGCTTGGTTTTTCAGGCAGGTCCACCCTTGCAAAGCTCATGCATGCAACCTGGTTGCGGAACTTTATAAAGCTGAGAGTTGGAGGACTGCAACACTGAAACTATCTGAAACTCGCCGCATATGCACAGCATGTACATCTCCAAGCCATGCATTTGCAGAGTTCGAGACCTATCTCAGGATGCCTCATACCTCCCTCATGCTGCTCCCATGTTGCTGCGTGCCTCCAGTCGCCTTCGGTTTCTGGTGTCCCGATGTCGGCATCATCCACCTGCAAATGAACAACTCATAACAAATCAACAAGCTGTTGATTCCACCCCGTTAGATTGGCACGACACCATTTGAGGGAGAAACATCACACCTTCCAACTTTGGGCTGTCGAAGTCACCAAGTGACCAAAACAAACTGTGTTCAAGCAAAAAGCCTAAAACAACCCCTCGCAAGGGGGTTGGGGACCAAGCATTGAAACTACACCTGTTTCTGTCCTGGTCATCCGTCACGACACCTATGAACCGTTCCTGAATCTCAGTCTGTGTTGTTCAAAACCTTTTGATCTAAATATATCTATATATATAAATATAGAGTGTCAAGTCCTTGGTCTCCATTCCTTTGATTGCCAACGGTTCCGGCGGCTCCAGCAAATTCCAAGGCTCCGGCATGGTTCATCATGGTTGGCCGGCATGAGAAATGTGCATTGATCTGTGCGTTGATCAGGGGTGGTTGAAGTAAAGTGACTGTGGCACTTCTTGCCTTGAGCTAGCTCAGAAACAGCCAGCGTCTCATTTGTACATCACCTGGTTCTCTAAACGGATGAAACACCAAAGATGCAATTTGTGTGGGACTGTGGGACCATCCTTTGGGGTTATAATGGGTTATATATATAATTATATATATATATTTACTCATGAGCAAATGAGCAAGAGTCCTTAGATGTCCTTATGTAGTTCTCATTAGCATGTTACCGGGTGCTCTGCCCAAAAATCATGGACTTGTATCACCAGTAGGATCAGCAAACCCATCCCCAGCGTGTTTTGTGTGTTTTGGACACTCACGATCGCGTTCGTGGCTGACTTCGATGATCCGCCGTTGTGGCTGTCTTGGTGTCTCGATCCAGCAGCTTCAGAGGCCAGTTCGGCAAAAGAATGACCACAGGTCATGGAATTGTGTGGCAAGTTCATCCAATGGGTTTTCCGGATTGGGGCAGGAGTTCTCTCAATGCGTGAAAGCGGGCCTGTTTTTGGCCCTCATACATCCTAGCGGTCCTAGAGCTGTATATAAATGAGTGTCAGTTTCCTTACCTTCAAGTGCGCAAGTAGCGCAAGTATGCCTCCCTGCATTTTTGAAGCGGAACTTCAAACACGCTCCAAGGGATTTTCGGCCGCCAGGCAGTCGCCAGCCTGAGGCAACTCTTCGGATCATGTTGGCAAGAAAGATTTCTCGTCTGTGGGGGCTTCACACTCGGACAACCCCCTCCCCCTTGTATTCCCAAAGGTCATCTCCTCACAATGCATTCCAAGAATACGATTGTGCTCTACAAATTGATTACTGAAAGCTGAATTTCCGTACACCTTCTGGCAAAATCCAAACATCCATAAACCTCTTTTTTACCATACCCTACCATGCCTGCCTGCTTTCTGCAGCCAAAGTCGGAGTCTAGGAACTCTTTTCGTTGTCGCCAGCCTGGCCGGGATGGCGAAGGGCATGTGCGGCACAGAAAAGGCCCATGATGAGCCCCAGGGGGTCCCAGAAGTTGCCGATCCGGGGTGTCCATGCATTGGCACCGGATCGGTGTCATTTTTGAACAGTCTGACTTCATCTGATGTCCTACTGGTGAAACCTGTTTGCTAACTTGTTCCGCTCAACGATGATTATGTTGACAATTGTTGACACAAATGATTGACCATATATTATCGGATAATTGTGGCACGTCTCGCTGAACCCGCGCATCGTTGCACCGATGGATCATGATGGATCCAGAGTTTGTACGACAGGGATCCTGAAGGGCTTGGACACTTCTGACTAGGTCAGCGCTGATTGGCGCGCTGCCTGGCCTGTTCCATGGCGGACATGATGCCATACATGGAACCCCATGTCAGCACCAGCTGGGGCAGGCCCATCTGTAGCATCTCTTTGCTCCTGAGGCTGTGCTGTGGCTGCGATGGCTAAGGGAGTCGAACCATGGCAGGTCTGGAGCTGAAGAAACCCCAAAACAAGCGACGTCCGGGTGGTTCAGGACGGACACAAAGTTGATCGCGATTTGATCAGTCGCCGGCCAACTGCTGGAGACGCGAGCCCCACCTGTCTAAGGAGGGCCACACGTTCTCCAGGATGGTGTGTTTTCACCTTCCACCCACTATAATAGGCTTGGTGCACAACTGTGGGCCACGGGTATGGGAGAAAGTCCTTGACAAATCGTGCAAATACAGTATATAGTATAAAAATGCTTCATCGCTTCAGCATGTTTCAGCTGTAAATCAATTGTGAAGCCGACTCAGTGTTTGGTAGAGTGAGGCCAACTGCTGCTGCCATTCTCCAAAGTATCTGGTCGGCTGGGCTTAGCGACTCTATTATCCGCCGACCCCTGCCTAGCAGACGCCTAGGCGGGGAGGCGCCCGGGACACCGGAGGGAGAAACACTGCAATGCCTAGACCCGAGCCTCTCTGGAACCTGTCACCCCGACCTGCACACCCTTCCCGGCACCTTTGGCTTAGGCTGCCAGCGCACGTTTGGCTGACTCCTGCCCCGCAGCCTTTGCATTAGGCGGGAGCCTCTGGAACGTGCAGCCCGTGCACTGCAGCCTTAGAGCTGAGCCTCTGGAAGCTGCTCCCAGCGCCTTTGGCTTACTCCTGCATCGCAGCCTTGCTGGCAGAACTGAGCCTCTGGAAGCTGCCACCTCGGCCTGCGCCTCTTTCTTTAGGGCCCCGAAGGTGACGTCCAGGCGCCCTCAAACCCTTC